TGTGTGTGTGTGTGTGTGTGTGTGTGTGTGTGTGTGTGTGTGTGTGTAGAACCGAGGTGTGTACATGTTCCGGATCGATAACGACTTTGTGATCGACGCCACCATCACTGGAGGACCAGCCAGGTGAGACCAATTGTGTTATGAACATATTTCTAGTAGGTGTGTGTGTGATAATAAGAAGCGTCTTTAATCGTGTAGAACGTTCTAATCCTTAATTGTTGGAATGCTGATTCAGCATTCCAAGTATTGTTATCCAAATCTTTATTGTTGGAATGCTGATTCTTTATTCCTCTACTATTTCTTCCTTATGTTTTTAGCACTTATCTACTTTAACTTTTATGATTTTTTCAGTCCTTTTCTGACTTTATAATGGGTGTGTATAGCACAGCTCAGAGTGCGTGATGTCATCGCTAGAGTGAAGAGGAGCTTGAGATTCTTGTGAAAAAAATATTTCTACTTTGCCACTGACTCCACAATCTTCACTCTTCATGGATAATTTATGGATGGAAAAGTAGTTGATCGTGTCCTTGTCGTAGACAAATGACTGTGGAATCCCACAGATTTAAGCATTTGGCTCACCAGCTGAGAGGAAAACCAACTATCTGCTCCATAGAAAACAACGTTAATTCTTACTCCAAGAACATCTTGCACAGACAACGTACAACATTTCTAGATCACATTTAAGCCACACTACAGACACAATGTTCACATGATCTGTTCTTCAACTCATCCTTCCTCTCCAGTTCTAATATCGGAGCAATAGGAGCTATGGTTATGGGGGTTTTGAGGATTTCACAGCTTTATCTCATGTAAAGACTGCAGGCACACAGGTGTTTGTGATTGAGCTAATTAGTGAAGTTGATAAACACACTGACACACGCACAGACACACATGACTTGGAGATATTCAGTAAAAGCCTCGTCTCTGTCTCTGTGTGTCTCTCTCTCTGTCTCTCTCTCTGTCTTCCTGTCATTCTGTGTCTCTCTCTCTTTCTCTCTCTTTTTCTGTCTGTCTGTGTCTCTGTCTCTGTCTGTCTGTCTCTCCCACTCACTCACTAACTCACTCTCTCTCTCTCTCTTTCTCCCTCCCTCCCACTCACTCTCGCACTCATTCTGTCTCTCTCTGTCGCCTCTCTCTTTCTGTCTGTCTCTGGCTGTCTGTCTTTCTCCCTCTGTCACTCACTCACTCTGTCTCTTTCTGTCTGTGTCTCTCTATCATACAGTCATTCAGGTCTTAGAGATATGACTTTTCCCCTTT